TAACAAGTGGTGACAGCACTGTATGTTTGTCTGCTTCTGCAAATGTGGTTGTGGGTGGTCTCAAAAGCCATAGATCAAGCATGTGCAGTGCGCCGTGCAAGTACAAAGAGTGACAATCAGCAAAATACAGTGGACATAACATAAAGCATATATTGGATGCACTCTGGCCATCAAAGATGGGCAGCCATGCTATGATTTTGCAAAACACGAACTAAAATTGAATGCCGTGACCATTTTGAAGAAAATCAACGTTGTTTTCTAGATAAACATGCTAAAATGACACTGTTACCATTACTATATACGTAATATTTTTATTAGCTGCAACAAAATTTTAAAAAAAAAGAAAATGGGAGGTAGGGTAAATTGGGCCCGGGGCATGGTGGCCACTAGAAAAAAGGCAAATTTGGGTAATTAGTTAGCTAATGAACTAAGCTTGACCTTATAATGGTTTAGCCGTGCCGTCAAATTCTCGTTAAAAATTTGTGAACGCTACAGGGCCGAGAAATGTTACCCTGGTACACGGTGCCAAGTTGAAACTAAGAGAGCAAAAGCGCCGGTGACTTCATTGCTTTGTGTCACACTGCTGATGTCAGCTGCGGTGCGGGCACGTGGGTTGAAGCTATCGCAGCCGGCTTGGCTTGTTTAAGTGAAGCCGGCTGCAATAACGTCGATTCACGTGCCCCGCCACAGGGGACGTCAGCAGTGTCATGCAAAGCGATGACATTACCGGTGCGATTGTCCGCTTTGTTTCAGTCCGATGCTCAGTACCGTGACATTTCTCGACCCCATAGTGCCTACCACAAATTCTTTAATCAAAATTTAATGGCACCGTTAGACCATATTGAGGTCAAGCCTACATCCTCTAGACATATTAGGTGCACTCAAGTAAAAACTGAAAAGTTAATATAACATTTGAGTTAGTCGCTAACAATTGTTACCTAATTTCGCCTTTTTTTCTAGTAGCCACCATGGCTACTAACACTGCCTCAGGGCTCACATTACCCTATTTCATGTTTTATTTTTTTGAAAATTTGGAGCAGCTAACAAAGACACCTGTATCGATAACATTTTGCTTAGCGATTGTTATATGTATCTGTAAATATACTTAGTTTTAGATACATATTAAAAAATGTGACAAGCAGCTGTAGAGCTAATCAAAATCGGTCAACCAGCCTGGCAATTCTATTTTGCCCAATCTATGCCTAATCTTCTTGAAGGTTAAGCTAAAATTCTGATTTTCCAGATCTGGAGATTTGGCAAAACCTTGGCAACCACTAATGGCTATTGTGTCAGCTTCAAAGTGGACGAAAATGTTGCTATATATAGAGTTACACCTAGAAGATATTCTGATAAAAATGATTAATAGCATAAAGATGAATTTGAGACTGTGCGAAACCCAGACCCCATAAAATTTGTACCTTGCGATCTCGGACTGAAAGTCCGAGGTTGCAAGGTTCAAAGTATTCAATATCTTCAAACTTTCGAACTCGAACCTTGGGAGGTTTGCAACATCTTTAGGTTGGCCCGGACTGTGGAGCTAGTAACAAGGGGGGACCCTCACTGGAGAACTCCCTGCTTCTGCTCAGTGGGCAAGTAACGAGCAGGAAACGCGAATAGTACTAGTATGTAAAGATTCAAGTCAGGAATTGGCCTGGTAAACACCATTAAGGTAAAAATAGGTCGAAGAGGTGCCACAAATTATGAAAAGAGCAACTTATGCGCCAACTTGTAACTGGAAATGAGACATTTTGGTACTGTACGACGTACCTATGTAGAACCGTTTTTGAGAGTTGGATGAAGAAAGCAGGAGTTCTGTAAACTGTTTTGCTGCTCCTTGAAGAACGGCGTGCATATACTCGACGCTCACTCCGGCCACAAGATCAAATCCTGAAAGTAAATGTTACATGTCTCTCAGTTTCTAACTCTAGGGACTGCAAAAAAGCATGCAACTGACAAATCACAAGTTCAATAATTCCAAGAGTATAGCTGGTAACAGTTCATGACATTGAATCTTTTAGTGTACCTCCTGCTTTTTCGGTGAAAGAAAAAATATTAGTATATTAACTCCGCAAGTATGCTGGTCAGCTACTCTGTGAATTGGAAAATCAAAACATCAATTAGGTGTTCCAAAAGGTTTCTCTGAAACCGAAATAGAGTACAATTTTATTGAACGGTCGATTGCCGATCAGAGAATATTGACAGGTTTTACCATCGAAAACCATTACAAAATGCTCTTCTTAGCGCTTCGTACAAATGAGCATGGACGTGAATTTCAGAAGAAATTTGCGTGTATGTACTGCCTCTACTGTCTGTTTCAACGGCATCTTTCTTAGAGACCACTGTTGGCTAAGCTTATGAGAAAAAAAAAATTAGGGGGGAGGTGGCACTCTTACAAGCATAGGAAGGCAGAATGCTAGCCCTGCCTCTGCCGTGGCCCTATGAATTTTTCCCCAAGCTTTGCAAAGGAGGGAAGGAAGGGAACAGTCTTGTCTTACTCTTGAGATTACACAGCAACCACAAAACTTGTGGCTCAGCAGTGTTACGTGTGAGTATACTTGTGTCACGCTTGTGTCAGTATGCTTGTGCAAAGTACTTCGCATCTTTCAGTTGGGCGCCACTGATCACCGATTTTTCCACTGTTGCAGCCTGAAATAAGTATTGGCTTGCAAACTTAAAATAGAAAATTAATTCACAGCGCATCCAAGTAGCCCGTCGTAACATCAGCTAACAGACCTTGGGGAGAAATTGGGGGCACGGCTGTGGTCATCTTCGCTGAGCATCTGCTACTGAACATTTGCAAATCAACAGTGCATTGAGAGTACAAAAGTATGTAGTTCATAATCTCAGAAAGTAAGAATGTAACATATCAGAGTACAGTCGGAACCCAAAGAGATTAGCACAATTAAGTGATCAACGTGCGGAGCATTGTGCTATTCGAAAACAGAATCAAAATCACAAAGATTTTGTGTGACTAATACTTTCTGTTCTCAGTGTGAAACAGTTTGCTTCGATCGCTTGAACCTTGGATAATCTCACCCTGTTCTTTAGACATTCAGGGAAAAAGCCACACCTGGTAGATTCATTAGCGGAGAAGGACCCTTGATTCTATTTATGGTGATCCCCAATCTCAAGGAAAGCTGCATATCTCGGACCACAAGCTCAGATGTTCTTGGAGCCGGTGGTTCCTTGGGCACGTAGCGCATGCTTCCTGTGAATAAAAATAAACGAAAATATATTAGGAGGTTGCACCCAGTAGGCTCAGAAAAACATAATGTTTAGTTTGAACTGCAATGTGCACGTGCAAGAAGACCGATACATACCTTCCAGGTGTTCCCCACTTATGAGGCACCAGGGACATCCAAACGAGCCGTTGAAAAGTACCATGTTCTGAACTGCTGCCCTCGCAGGTGCGTCGACACAGCAGCAGAGCACATAAGCTCTGGACCTGTGCATCTCAGAGCTATGCTCCCACATCACGGGCGTCATGCTTTTGACTTGATCAACAAACTTTGCGAGGAAGGCAGTCATGTTTGGATGGCCTTTTCCGAACCAAAGTCCGGCTAGTGTGGTGTGCTTGAAGCGGATGCTTGGAGGGAGCTCATTCACAGTGAATTGAATAGGCCAAACAGACGTTTTGGATGACACGAAGAGAGGACTGCCGTCAGTGTTAAAAGTCAAAGAAAGATCACTGTCCCCCATCCCAGTCTTTCTGCGCAGAGCATCATAGGCTTCACCTGTTGTTATGTCAGTGACACCACTTCCGCTTGATGAGGTACTACGTTCCATGGCAAGCTTCAGGAGGTTGTTGTGAAGAAGCTCCTTGGTCTTCTCAATAACGAAGGACAGTTGCTTCGTCATGTCAAGCATTACGAAGTAGGATCCATTCTCTTTTAGCACCTTCAGATCTATCCCTTGCTGGCACACTGAGCAGCTGGCTGCAGTCTCTGCGTCTTCCAGAACTGCTCCACAGCCCTCACAAAGGTAGTAGTGGCGAACCAAGTTTTGCGTCGTTGCTGACCAAAGCTTGCGGAAAGCATATTTGCTTTGCGGCACGACTTGCCTTCCAAACAGGGCATTGATGAGCACGAGCAAAGAATCGAGGCCCGACCACGTCATGCCCTGCGATACGACGTGGGCCATTATCATGGCGATGGCGCCGGCTTTTGTCGTCGTAGAATGGGGAAGTGTCTCCGTCCCGAACTGATTGAAACAGGATGACAGAAGGTGTTCGAGCAAGGGCTGTGGTACAGGGTCATTTCCATTCATCTCGTCATCATCATCTCCATAGTCCTCACCAGAGTTCACGACGTCGTCTTGAACATCGTAGTTCTCGTCGCTAGCATTTAACGATTCCGAACGCTCGCGTTCGGCATCTGTGCTCAATTCGGATTCGTCGGAATGGCAGTCCTCGTCATCAGAATTATTCCCAGCGGATTTTAGTGCTTGGGGAACTCGAGTTAACGGGGTGAGCACGTCGTGAGGGGGGTCTCCAGGGTACTGAGCATCCCTTGTACTGTGAAAATATTGCGTTGATCTAGGCATCACAAAAGGCTCACTCTCTGCCAAGTAACATTTCCGACGCTTGGCACCCGGTGAGCTTTCCATTGCAGCTAAAACTTAACAGACAAAGAACTTGGCGCCACCTGTTGAAAGGATAATGGAGACCATAGTCAATGAGACTTGGATTGACTACGTTCTAGGTGTTTGTGAGCAATCGGAACCCGGTTTCTTACACCGGAAAAATAAAATAGAACTATACTCCGTTTAACCTTCAGTCCGAGCGCAGCGGACGCTAGGAGCCATCGAAGCCAATCCCGCGTAGAGAGAGTGTCATGTGACCTTGAGCTCCCTGCGCCGCTCTGCCCAACCGGCAGGTCACGCGATTTTCTCCCGGCGCTGGATAGGCTGGAATAGCTGGTGGCGTCCACTGCGCTTGGACTGATGGTGGAACGGAGTATAGTAAAACGTAGTTCCAGCAAGATGCCAAAATGTCAAGACTTACCAAAACCAAAATAAAAAGTTAGAGGCCAAAAAAAAACTGCTTTCGTCTCTTAAAACCTAGGTGGCGCGAGCTACCGTCCAATATAAAAATAAGTCAATTTTGTTTATTTGTCTATTCATACAGGCGCAGCCAGTGGGCGCAGCCTAGCCAAGCCCAGTCCCTGTCTTGCGCGCGCTTTCTGTCGTCTCTTGCGTGCCTGCGTTTGACCGTCTGCGTCGCCATAATTGATTTATCGTTGCTTGCCCGCGTCCCCATCATTGCTCGACCGTTAGAGGTGGACGGCTGGACCTCGACCGCCCGTACGCTCGGTTTTTTTGCGTCGCGGGTGTTGTGGGCGTCCGTTGGGCGATGTACGCATTTGTAAAGTTTACCGACGGTGGCCGACTGGTTATGCCGATCTCGATGATAAAGAAGTTTAGGCCTAGGGATGATCAAGACTGCAACCCAAAACAAAAGCTTGAAGCGTTCTGGATCTCTGAGAAAGGAGGGGAAGAAGGCTACTACGAAGCGACGGTGGAGATGCTTGGAGGTATGTGTATTCGTGTGATACCTTTTTTAAGATACCATGCTCAGGAATCGTCGGTTCTGGAGATTTTTGTGTGAGCTAATACGCACGTGGAGCAGGGCGGCCGGGCACGAACAAGTGCGCCTTACTTCTAACAAATGCCTCCATCGTTCAAGTACTTGCGCAGTGAAGGCACATGGTTTCACAAAAGCTGTAATTCGGGCTATTTGAAAACGGGTGTTACGAATGCATGTACTGTACTTTTTTAGTGTGAAGGCTGCATTCGAGGAACAAAAACAAAGGTGAAGCGCCACCCATGAGCGTCACGCATGAAATGTTTTATAGCGAGTTCGTTTCACGGCACTCGTGCCCACGCGTGCCCACTCGCAACGTGGAGCGGGTTCGTTTCAGCCGGCACTCCGCGAGTGGTTGCACTCTATAGCGCGAAACACATGTACGACGAAACCGTCCGATCCGACGTGCGGACTGCCGGAATGACCTTGGGGGCGAGGGTTTCCGTAGCATCGGAGAGCGTTGAAAACCCTCGCCTCCGACCGTCGTATTGCGCGGTCGGACGTCGGATCGGACGGTTTCGTCGTACGTGTGTTTCGCGCTTAAGAGTTCGTTTCAGCGCCAACACCCCACGCGTGCATGGACTCGCTGCACCGAGGAAATCGTGAGTGCGCCAAAATGCAATCCCGTCATGCCTCGCTCCGGCGAGGAGCGATGAGCAGACGACGAGGACTCGTCTGCTACGATGTGTCGCGGAACCGAAAGGAAAAAAAAGTAGATTTTTTGATAGAAATCGGGTCCCGCGGGCAAAGGAATCAAATGCGAGCTTGAATTGTAAGCGTCTGCTACTTCATGAAGGAAGCAACTGACAAACCGTGCTTTATTTGCAGGTTTTAAGTCGCTCCGTTGCCGTACAGACGCTGAAATATACCGGTGTGTAAAGAAATGCTCAGAACAGACGCATCAGCGGCCCTCGATATGTTTATCACCATCCGTGCGCGGGTGAAAAATTTAACATTTGTCGACAAAACTCGTGTTTTGTCGACAAATGTTTAACATTTACCTACGTAAGCTAAGGTACCCCGTCGTATTTTGTTCGAGAAAGCTCTTTCTCGACGCCTCACCACGGCTGATATCTGATTCACCTGTAATGATGATCGAAATCGAAAGTCCCACGAAAAGTTTTGCTGGATATTCCAAGAGACAAGTTTTTAAGCCGTACCCTTTCAGTGGTTCACGTATGATACCATGCTCAAATGGGTCAAGCTTCTGCTCGGACAGCATCATCAGTTTTCTTCAGTGTAAGCGGCTATAAAGAGATCGCAACCAGCCGCTTTGTAGACAGCTGGCTGCGGAAATTTACGCCGTCTGTAACCATCTTTACGACAGCCCAGTTGCTTGAAGTCATCGCAAATATAAACTATAGAAAAGAGTCAAAGTACAGGCTAGCTGGTGGAAGTCAACCATTTCGTCGTTTACCCTGAGACCCCCCAGTCTCAGGGTAAACGACGAAATGATAAACTACAGGTTGCAGCGACCAACGTTTGTAGATAAACGTTGGTAGCGACTGCACTCTCGCATTTCCACCCATGACTCCGAACAGAAAAACACTATTTTCGGTTTGAGGTTGGTACCTTTTCCATGACATAGATGGCGACAGCATCAGTTTTCTGGACTTGGTTTTCTGCACTCGGTGCATCTGGCGAGTTCGTTTGATTCCAGTTCTCCGTGCAACACTCTGCGAGTGCGATGCATTCTGGGAGAGAACTCGAACAGCGCCAGTGCGTGTGAAACGAACTCGCTATGAGACACCTATGCTAGTCGAGTAAAGGCTCCGTAAGCTGGTGTGCTAAAAATGGAGTCACTCCATCTTAAGACGTTTTGAAATCAGAACATAAGAAGCTTTCATGTTCTCCACTAGTGCGAGGCGATGTGATGTGCGTGATTGCTTGTTCTAATTTTCAAAAGTAATGCTATGGTTTGGCACGTTACCCACAATCTTCGCAGGGACAGTTGAACTTCTCATCCAAAAAATGCAGAAGGCAAGAGTAGCAGTGCCAAGGATTCTCAACAACCTCCCTGAAGGTGGAGTTGGAGACTCCATGCAGAAGGCAAGTTCATGTTTCAAATAGCTTAATTTCCATGTGCCTGCTGGCACATGGAAATGTGCCACCTACTGGCAAAAGCTTGCTGATACAGCAAGCCTTTGCCAGTAGGAATGTATAGAGCTACCTACTGTTAGGGGGAACTCGCTGATGGATGGACGGTGCTCCGCGTTTTGACAGCTGCTGGGGCAACGGGAAGCTCAGTGCAGACGCAGTAAAGCATGAAACACATGTACGACGAAACCGTCCGATCCGACGTGCGGACTGCCGGAATGACTTTGGGAGCGAGGGTTTTCGTAGCATCGGAGAGCTTTGAAAACCCTCGCCTCCGACCGTCGTATTGCGTGGTCGGACGTCAGATCGGACGGTTCCGTCGTACATGTGTTTCGCGCTTAAGCTTCAGTAGCAGACAACGCGCTGCATACGCCACCAATGCTGCTCACTGCATCTGTTCTGAGCCAGCCGAGCAGACTCAGTAGTTGGCTTATATGTAAAATTCTAAGTTTCCAGATTTTTATTTTTTTAAGTGAAATTTTTTTTATTATTATTACGTATTGACTAATTGCACTTTTTTCAAGCATCTTGTCCCAAATGCAGTACATTAGGCTCGTGTCTGAAATATTCGTCCCACAGCAGCACTTGCAGACGGATGGCTGTAATTAGGACAAAGAGCGGCACAATTCTCACAGAACAGTTTAGAATGAGAAGCGGCCTCACTTTTCTCCTCGCTTCGGTTCACTTTCTCAAGGCAACTTAGCGAAGAGGAGAGGGAATGAAGAATCATGACGAGAGTATGTCCCGTCAGCCTTGTTGAATTGCTCCCTTTCATTCCCAAAATACGGCCATCCCTTTGAAATATTGCTGTACAAGTGATGTCAGGGAGTTTGTAGCGTACCGCCTGTCACTCCTGCCTTGATTAGTCATAGCTTACAAATCAAATTTTTTGATATTTGTTTAGGTCTCGGCCCAACATCAGGACTGCGTGGTAGAACTTGCCTACTGCCTCCTAGATTTTCACTATACTCCGTTTCATACATAGCGTACAAAGCTGGGAAAGGTACTGAAGTAGTGCACATGAAAAAATATTTAAAAAATGTGTTACTCTACGCGTTTCGGGGACGAACTGTAAAAGGCGCTGCTCTGGCGATACCGACGTCTCGGTGGCGGTACCTCAAATTCACTTAACGTGTAAGATTTGTTTTTTTTTTTTACATAATTTGTGTGCATGATTGTGTGCATTGCGGAAGTGCATAGGTCAGTTCCTCTTTTCTTGTTTCTTTTTATTTATAAGGGGGTAGACTAGGGGTTGGTGTTCCGCTTGAACCTAGTGCCGGCCCCATTAAAACGTAAGAATGGTTGAGATCCAGGGTGTCTGCTTAAACCGTTTATTTACATGATACCGTGAAAATCTGAGAGTACCTTGAGAGTGCAGTGGACGGGCCTTTATATAACGAATACTGGGATGCGACTTCATCCAAGTTTTCTTAAGAGTTGGAATGCTGGCGCTGGTGTATGGAAGTCATCCAGACGGCAGTTTCTCGCTGCTCTGGTGCCGGCGCCCCATGAACTGAGAGTGATTCACAATAGACGCGTACACACCACATGGCACTCGAGGTCAGGGTCAAGTGTTGTTTTCTTTTCAAGGAAAGCAGGGGCCTCGGAATGCAGCCACGGGCACATGCGTCGTCCACTTAGCCAACCAAGGTTACGGTCCCTAAAGTTTCGTTTACACTCTTGCAACCGAGTACGACCGACAGAGACCAGACCGGTTTTTAAGCCTCTTGCGACCTCTTAGGACCAGCTCCACTACAGTGCATCCGGTCCTAAGAGGTCGCAAGAGGCTTAAAAATTGGTCTGGTCTTTCTCGGTCGTACTCGGTTGCAAGAGTGTGAACGGGCCTTTAGGCAGAAGAAACCAGACGCACCTAAATGCAGCCACGGGCATTGTCTGCCTAGCCAACCAAGGTTAAAGGCCCGTTCACACTCTTGTGGCCTCTTAGAATCGGGTTTTGTTAGAACCTCTTAATATCTATTACAACAAGAGGACACACTGGTGCCATCCATTGGGTACAAGTGTAAACTTGGCGGTCGGGCATGTTTTCTATTTCTCTCTCGCATTATCCTTTCTTTCTTGGCCCAAAAAGCTTTTGTCAACGTTATAAACGAGCCGTTCTTATAGGTATTACGCACATTTGACCTTAGAAATCCCGCAAAGCCTTTGCTCTTGTGAAACGCAGTTCCAGGGTCACCGCATAGATGGCGCCAAAATGCCAGTGTGTTCCCTCGTCCTTAACATTTTAAGAAGTTTTAACAGATCTCATCTCTCTCGGTCATACTCGGTTGAAAGAATGTCCTGCAAGCAAACTGAGCCTTAGGCACTATTCATCACCGGCGCGGTTCCTTCTTAAGGCTTGTTTCACTTTGAAGCCATAAGGCCGATTTTAACACCAGACATAACTGAAGGCAGTTCACAACACGGTCCACGTGCTCAAAACTCGCGTTGCAAGGTCTTCGCTTCGGAAATGCCACCTTGCCAGATAGACACTGTGCCTTGCACTTTGCGACAGTATGGCCGCACGCTCCGGTGTCGTTACTGACAGTCTCCAGGGCTTCACGGACTGACACGTCTCTGGGAAAATTGTTCTTGTACTCATGTACACATTGGCGCTCACCTGCTGGCACTCTTTCGAGATCTCCGCACAACGAATCTTTGAAAATAACCAAGCAGGAGAGGTACTTGGGCTTGCTGTGTAAGACTGTTCTCAAAACCGGCGAGGCAGGGGCCAGCCGCACAACCCAAAAGCCCGAAGTGGCTGCCGCACCAATGAAAACGGAAAACAATTTAAAGTAGTTAACATTATCTTTTCCTTTTTATTGAAAAAGAAAAGAAAAAAATATATTGGTGTTTCGTCGAAATTGTAACGCCGCTATCAGTTACTAGCTCCGAAGATGCACATTTTTTTACTTTGTTCTTTTTTACAGGGGCAGCACTATCTTATGGGGCAAACGTACGAATGGTCGGCAGTGCAAACCGGTGCACTAGCTTTGACTGCGTTGCACGCTATGTATGGAACGGAGCATAGAGCTAAAATATTTCATAGACTGTCTTGACTACAGATGTTGTGAATAAATCGAGGCATAAGTTTGAAGACACCTTTTATAGAATTTCACGAAATAGAAATTTCGGAGCCTGTGCATCGGCTCATCGTACTGTTTTAGGCTACATTGTGCAAGTAGATGAGAGAGAAGGACATTGGAGAAGAAGGGTGTTCTGCATGGCACAAAGTGCTAGTTGTTTGTCAACCTTTAGGAAACAATAATGTAATTGGCGTAATATTTTCCATTGGGTGCACAGACGTCGTCAAAAAACCCAAAGAACGGAAAACAAGCACAGCTTATTGCTCAAAAGAAATTGTGCGAAGACTACAACTCCAACAGGACAGAAACCTCCAAGGTGAAAAAGCCTGGGAATAATTAACGTTCTCTATAAGTAGAAAATTAAATAAACAATTTTTATGCGCTCATAGAACCCACTTATTGCTATTCTCATTTCAGAGAACGAGGTCAGAGAGCAGCGAGAGTGATGAAGAGACTAATTCACTTCGTCAAAAAAATGCAGTCATTGTCCAACTTCGAAAGCGCTTGAGAGAGGAAAAGGAATACAGCAGGCGGCTAGGCCTTGCCCTTCTGGACAAGATTGGTATGCTTCTTTGAACCGGTCTTATCAGGGGTGTGACAGCTTTGCCACTAGACTGTGCCAAATTCCCCAGCACCAGGGAAGATGCGGCGAGTGAGCACTCGGGGACCGCCTTTCTTGGCAATGCAGTCAAAAGCTATGGGCACGAGCGTCATAGTCGTGCGTATGTCCTCATCGTTTGTGATATTCCAAGAAATGTTGTCCCTAACTAGAAACATGCCTGCCTTTTGGTAGGAGACATTTGAAGTAAATAACGAAAATGAGCCGGCAACAAATGCTAGTGAAACATTTCACTTGAATTGGGTTTCTTTCTTTGCTGCAGACATTATACATCTCCTGCGCATGTGCCTAAACTCGTCGCACGCATCTGGAGGCTCGGCACAGTGTATTGCACCATTGAGAGTTCAGCGACAACCGAATAGACAATGTCATTTTCCCAGATGCCACGGCGTGCGTCCTAGGATTTGTGGGAACGGTGTTTGTTGACTCAGTCTTTTTTTCGTGATTATAAGTGTACTTATTTCGTTCTGCCTACTGTATTTTTTGTGTACGATTTGCTCTTGCATGTTTTTTCTGTCGTTTTCGACGTGGGCATTGATGGACGCCAAACCGCCTCTTTCGCTGCTCCTGAGGTGTGTTTTGGTGAAGATACGACTGTTTACGAAAATCGCAGTCCAGACATGGCCATCAGATCGTAACTGCGGCAAGCCAGGAAAGGATCGTGCAAATGCACTATTCGTGATGACAAAGCAGCCTCTTCCATATTGGGCACGCAAACAGTAGTCTGATGTCATATGTTCACATTTCACACAGCGTTCAGACAAATAAACGGAACTTGAACTACTTTTAATCTATCCGAGTCAAAAGCAGTCCCTCTGTACGTAAGGTAGCAGTAGCACAAGACTACAATCCCGCAACCTGTCTTTCGATTTAAAACGCGTTCCATTTCTCTTTTTAACGGGGGGGGGAACAGGGGAGGGAGTTGCGAGCCGTACTTTAACACGCGAAGAGCCGCATGCGGCTCGGGAGCCGCAGCTTGGCCACCCCTGATCTATATGCTAAGGCTAAGCGGTTTTCAGTTGCAAACACCCTTTTTCAAGTGCTGACAACTGCATGCAGTTGTCAGGCGCCGCAGCGTTGGATATGCTGAATGGTGTTACGGTTTCGCAGGCATTCGGGCAAATGATCCGCGGCGACAAAGCGGCGTGCTGTATCTTGGTCAAGCAAGCGGCACTCGAAGGCACACGCTACAGTCCGAGTCAACGGAGCGAGTGCGGGCGGCCAAATCACAGCGTACTGGGCTCTCGCGTCGCGATTGTTGATTCAGACCTCTGCCTATCTCTATGACATGCACGCGGGTGTTCATAAATGGCTCCTCTCGACTGCATGCGGGTCAAATTGAATTATAATGAACAGCGCGATAGGAATCAGTGGCAACGGTAGTACTCACCTGGGGTTTTAGAAATAAATGAACTGCGCAAAGGACGAGGACAGAGGTAGAAACGAGTACGACACACAGAGCGCAGACTTCCAACTGTTTATTTGGCGCAGACACAACAGTATATATGACAGCAGCAATCAGTTTGCGGTTAAATAAGGTTTAAACATGACCGTCCAAAAAAGAGAATTCCTTGTCTGATAGTGAAACAGATTGCATGCTTATGCAGTCGTGACCTTTCTTTTTAATGAAGTAGGCTTCTACGAGTTTTCTTTCCGTTGCCTCATTTGCTCTTGCGAGAACACGTGTCCTTTGCAAATCAGGATGACAACCGCATTTCAAACAATGTACAGACAGATGTCCGCCTGTGTTGTTTTTTATCGACAGATAGTGTTCTCGTGCCCTCAGGTTGAAACAACGTCCAGTCTCGCCAATGTATACTCGCCCGCAAGAAAGCGGGCGAGTGTTCCAAGAGGTGTTACCTCACCTGGGGAACGACGCGCGAAGCGGCGTGTTGTCCGTTGGCACTCTCGTCGAAAAAGGAAAAATAAAGACACAAATACTATGAGAATAAAAACACTTAGAAGCCGTAAAAAAATATGCTTGAATAGATAAAAGTAAGTAATGGAATTGAAAAACAGAGGATTAAGAGGAGGCAATGCGATCTCAAGGCAGGGCGGCCAGGCGAGGGACAGTCTCCCCACCATTCCTTGCGCGCGGGCCAGGGCGCTTGGGAAAATAGCAAATCGTCTATTGGTCGGATGTGCGCCAGGGCACTTGGGGGAAATTACAAATCGTTTCTTGCCTATCTCTTAACCACTGTGCACACTGTCACGGCCTTCATGCTTGGTGGGCTTTGCTGCCTTGCATTGCCGTGTTAGGAGCAGCAAGGTGCGGGCAGTATTTGGGTTAGCCCAATCGGCTTTGAACTATTTGCTCTCTTAGACACTCTTTCGTCTTAATTGTGTCAAATGCTTATTTAAAGAAATGCAGAACTATAATTTAAAATTCTGCATTAGTATGGCCATCAAACTCAGTCCGATATAAAATTCATCTGAAATTCCTCAATATCATTTAAGGGATCGTAAACCAAAATTTGGATTAAAAAAAAAAAAAAAAAATGCAGATGTAGGTCTGGACGCTACAATCACTACAACATTACTCGTTGGGCGATATCTCGAATGGACGGCCATATTTTTGGAAAAAGAGGCCGAGATTGAACCAGGCCGACGAGGCGCGTGACGTGAAGATATCTTGTTTCCTCCTCTCTTCGCTTCGCCCCCTCAAGGTGGCGAGGTGAAGACGCGAGGGCCGTTGCCTCTCCTCAGAGAAAAGAGACGTAAACATTTCTGTCAAGTACGCCTTTTTTTTTTTTTTAAATACAGTCATTTGTTAGAGATATTGCTGATGAGTGATGTTTTGGTGTTTGTAGCATCCCATTGCACGCTTTTGCTGTATGTTTTGTGGAATCCAGATTTCGGTTCGACATCCCTTAAAGTGTATCCACACGACGGACCGGGCCGCGGACCGATTGATCACGTGATGCGCGGCCCGCGGACCGCCCGGCTGAAATGAGCATCCACACGGCGGACCAAGAGAGATTGACAGAGCGAACGGGCCAGACTAACCCTCGACCTCACAGCTCCGCCAAACGCATGCAGCGAGCTGCTTTGAGGCTATTTGTAAGGAGCCAAGATGGAGGTTGAACGAAAGAGACGTTTGGCCGCGGTGGCCCTGGCGTTGACTATTGAGGACGTGGAGGACTTAAGTGAACCGGAAAGGGCATGCATCTATTGTCCCACAGAGCGGGGAATTGCTCCACGAGCGCGATCAAGTAAAAAGTTGCATCGTCACACCATACCGCCATCGAAGCACAACAAAAGGTTGGTCTTCTTCGTCTTCACCAGTTGGCGCCAAAAGAAAACGACTTTGGATTTGGATTCCAGTCCAAACAACAAAAGTCAGCTTGTTGCCAGACTTGGCACTTCAATTATACTAAAAACGCCGCGGTCCGCCGCCAAGGTTCGGGCGAAAAAAGTCACTTGGCATTTCTCAGAAGCGCGGTCCGCGGACCGCCGGCGGACCTCGAAAACCGGTGACGTAAGATCACGTGATGCGCGGCCCGCGGACCGAAACAGCAATTTGGTCCGTCGTGTGGATACACCTTTAGGGGGTTATGACATGCCAAAAATAAAATGAGATAACTGTACTGTTAGGACCCATTGTATGTTTCTATAATTCTCCTAAGTTTGTTTTGAGAGTGGCGCGTTAGTTTCGTGGATGAATCGATTTATATGTGGGTCCCTCGGACCCGCCCTATTTCAAAATGCCACCCTGGCTGGGAGGCTGGTGACTTCACCAGCCTCCCACGCGGCGTCCCCTTGCGCAAGCTCACAGACTTGGCTCTCATGGCGTCTCGAGCTTCAGCTTCCTCGTTTACCTTCCGCTTTTCAAGCATACGGTCTGTGACGATTACGGCATTGCTGCTCGCCTTGTCAAAGTGTTCGACATTGACCGCAGCAGCAATGAGGGTGATTGCTATCAAGAGACGTTGGAAGCTGTTCATTTTGACTGCAACCCGCTGGCGACCAGCTCCAGAGATGCGAGTTATGGACGAACTCGGCGTGGTCACCGTCGTCCTAGAATGTCTCGCAGGCACATGCAGGGTGGAAGGTGAACGGGCCGGGGCCGAGAGCAAGAATAGCGTGTCGGTTACCGTGCTGCGTGAGCGGTTTTGATTGTGCCGCGGCGAGGGAGAGCTTGGGCGATCATGGGGGCGCCTTGAATGAGAGAGCGTTCATGATCATGTGGTTTATGGACGCCATGGGTGTGAGTAACTTGTGCAGTGTTGCCTGGTCGCCAGATGAAAATGATAAAAATTTATAAACCGATTATTGCAATTACCAGAGCTCTAAAAATAGCACAATTGGTGTATCTACTAAGTAGCCTATGAGCATTCCATATCAAGAATAATCTATCCGTCATAGCCCCTTTAATGGTTACATTTTCCCAAATCATTGTTTTCTGCTGGGTTTTACTGCATAATATTGATGCTTTTTTTAACCTATTTGCAAATATGGACGGTGATGCCATTTTGAACTTACCGTGATGGTCAGCGTTTCCAGTGCAGTGGTCAAGCTCACTTATTTGGGGCGCAGTGGCCATAATCAAAGCTGCGTTTTCAATGCTTTCTGTTCTGAAATGTGGGATATTTTGGTCCTAAGCTGCTGCAAAACGCAAATTTTCCTCGTCCAAAAATTACTCCAAAATAATTTTTTTTTTCTGTCCTACCCCTGTTTTATGGATTTTGTTTGTGTAACAGTGTTTCCATTGCTTCTACTTCCATTTTTTGCAGAAGTGGCCTGTAAGAAGGCTTCACAGAACGGAGCTGCAGTGTCCCTTGGTAAATTGCTCTTCAGAGCATGTCTTTTCATGCGCTAATCAATAATTGTATTTCCTTTTCAGGTCGTCGAGCTTCAAACGGCCGCGATGGCTTTGATCTTGCTTCTACATCACACTCGGGTAAGTCTAGATCACTGACATTCTAATGTCATGGGCAAGATTAAAGGCCATGCTTTTGAATGTTGGAGGCAAAATCGGTAAAGGCTATAGAGCATCTTTCGGCTAGAAAGCATTTTAAAGATATTGAGGGTCTGCAAAGCCAGGAGCCAATAATTGTATTTACTCCTTAGGTCATCAAGCTTCGAACATTCTCGATGGGTCTGATCTTGCTTCTACGTCCCACTTGGGTAAGTCTGGATTACTGACATTCTAATGCCGCGGGGAAGATTAAAGGTCACGCTTTTAGATGTTGGAGGCTAGATCGGCAAAGGCCATAAACCATCTTTCAACTAGAAAGTTTTCAGGCATTCTAAAGATATTGAGGTTCTGCAAAGCCAGGAGCCAATAATTGTATTTACTTTTTAGGTCGTCATGCTTCGAACAGCCGCCATGGGTCTGATCTTGCTTCTACGTCGCACTCGGGTAAGTCTGGGTTACTGACATTCTGATGTCGCAGGGAAGATTAAGGGCCACGCTTTTGGATGTTGGAGGCTAAATCAGTAAAGGCCACAAAGCATCTTTCAGCTATACAGTTTTCAGGCATTCTAAAGATATTGAGGTTTTGCAAAGCCAGGAACCAATTATTGTATTTACTTTTTAGGTCGTCATGCTTCGAACAGCCGCCATGGGTCTGATCTTGCTTCTGTGTCGCACTCTGGTAAGTCTGGGTTACTGACATTCTGATGTCGCAGGGAAGATTAAAGGCCACGCTTTTGGATGTTGGTGGCTAAATCAGTAAAGGCCATAAAGCATCTTTCAGCTATACAGTTTTCAGGCATTCTAAAGATGCTGAGGTTCTTCGAAGCCAGGAGCTTGTTTAAATGATCGAAATTAATGAATAGGTCTCCATCTTTTCCGCGTGCTCTAGCATCAGCTGCCTCCCTTGGTCTCGTGTCAATGGCAGCTCTACTCCTTGCTTCTCCCATTCCTGCAGCGGCACCCTCTCCGCCTCAGCACCCTGCTCCCGCCACTGTAGCTGTCCCCCCGATGGATCAACACAATGCCCCCGCCCCTGCAGCAGCCCCCCCTATGGATCAACACAACGTTCCAGCCCCCCCTTTGGATCAAGAGCCCGTTCCTGCCCCTGCAGCTGTCCCCCTTTTGGATCGCCCCGCTCCCATCCCTGTGGCAGCACCTCCTCTGTACCAACACCCTGCCCCACCAGCGGCTCTTCCTCAACGTCCTGTTCATGGCGAAGCTGGAAATCTTGGTAAACCGAGCCATCAAAGTCTGATGATTGTACAGTGTAGACCGCATATAACGTATGTCGCGGGAGTCGCAAAAATCCGCACTATAAGCGGTACCGCACTGTAACCGAAACATCAATTTTTCAGGCCAAAATACATGCCATCAGACAACTTACCTTTGTAAAAGAATTTATTTTATGTTAGATGAAAAATTAAGCTTAGTTTGAGGAAAGTCTTTATTTCACCAGGCTAGTACACTTCTCTCTCAAGTGTGTCACACATTTTGAAAGAAATTAGTGACTTTTGCCTAGCGCAGCCTTTTAACGCGTCGCGGGTTGCGGACGGACGTTGCGAGCATTCAGGATTGCTAACCCTAATCACTTTTCTCCGGCGATAAAAACGCAGGAAAATTCGCATCCTTTATACGGTACGCGCCAGTAATACCTTCAACTTGAGCACAGGCATGAAATGCTCCAAATAAGAAATCCGGACGATGTTCGAAAACACAAATGCTTAGAAAGCACCACTGTAGTCGAAGTAAACAAACACGACGACATGGGCGTTTCTGCCGTCTTGAGAGTGCCACCACAACATCGCCGCACGAGTAGGTGGATCTTCCCTTCTAGTACGTGCTGGGTTATCATAGCGACACACAACGAAAATTCACAGTCAAGGATAGCGCTTTTACGCGGAACGATGAGCTTCTACCATGCCGTCTATGTCGACGATCACCACCGACGCCATGTTTGCGGATAGAAGCAGCCGGTCCGCGACCAGCATGCAACGCGCGCGAACACTTCTCCTTGACCTGCGATTGGTCTCTCGTTGCGGTTGTTTGTTTCCAACGCAGCGGAGGGACGCACGCACGTGAACGACACGTGCGTGCGTCCCTCCGTCGCTATGGCAACTGAAGCCTCTCTTCGCTTCTTCGAGCAATCTCCTTGCCCTGCGAGTGCCGCTTGCGGCTTGTGCCATTATCTAGTGTCGCACAGGGAAGCGTGCTCGCAGCGCCGGTCAGTCGGCGCGCTGTTCCAAAAACCGCACTATAACCGGTATTTCCCTTTGCGCGCCTGCATTTTAAGCGGTATGTAAATACATGGAGTTCTATGGGAGGCGAACCGGTGGTTTAAAAAAGCCGCGTTATACCCGGTCCTGCACTATAAGCGGTTACGTTGCAAGTGGTCTATACTGTATTGATATCAGCGTTTGTTTTCTCATAGAAAGCAGTTGGGTACAAAGCGCGATATTGTTAGCGCTGGCGATTTATGACGAGTTTTTGCTGCTTTTTTGTTAGTCGGAATGCTGTCATTCAAATTTCTGGTGCCGTAGGAAGTGCTAATTTGGGACACTAACATACATGGTAAATACATGTGGGAAGCGAGCAGTTGTGATTAGCTGTTGAGCACCGTGTGTCGTTCGGTCAGGTTGCGCATGATCATGCTTTTGTAATTTTTTGGCTGCCTAGAGCTCTAAAGTGAGTTATCACCAAAACAACCTCAGAAACCTCCTTTAGTGCCCCCCTAACTTCATAGCCGCAGAAAGTTGTCCCCACTTACAGTATACAGTGAAACCTCGTTATAACAAAGTTGAAGGAGCGGTCATAATTATTTTGTTATAACCATTAGTTTGTTATAGCCAATGTCCATTTCTTTCCGCTATTAGCAAGCAAGGGGAATTATGATTGCTTTGTTATATCCATTAGTTTGTTCTATCCGATTTTGTTATAACGAGGTTTTACTGTAGTCCTTTCCTATGTGGGTTCGTCGTAATCCCAAAATTTTAGGTTGAATGGAGTTCGCCTTGAACAGGCTGTACTTATGCTTTGTCAAGTACTTGTGAATCCTTAGGGAGTTTCTGTAAATTCTGCCTAAAATCAAGCTAACCATTTCATCTCATCAGTGCACACACTTTTATATTTCATGGACAGCACACCAGCTGAATGCAGCTGTCCAGGGTCCACTGCGACCACTCTATGAAGTCAGGCAAGGGAATGTAAGTGACTGGTTTACATTTTTTTTTTCATTGTCCTTGTAAGGGGAGAATCAGCCAGCACTCCGTGCATCTGCTGAGGAAATGCCTTGCAATGATCAGCATAGCTACTGCTCTCTCTTACGAGAAGTGCGATGTGTTGACATTCTCGGCGTTCTCTCCGCGGCAGGTGCCGCATGCATCTGTCATGACTCGAGATTTCTCCTCTTCGCAGCGCTTGGCGCACTAATCAGTATTCCAATCCCTCTGTGCACATCGGTGACTAATATATAAGCACTAAAGTTCAGAGAGGACTGAACTGACATCATGTGTTTTGGTTACTTGAGGCCGTTTCATACACTTGCAATCGAGTACGACCAAGAGAGATGAGACCTGTTGAAACCTCTTAAAATTACTTAAGACAAGAGAGCACACTGGCATGCTGGTGACACCTATGCGGTGACTCTGAAACTGCATTACACAAGAGCGGAGGTTTTGGATTTCCGAGGTCAAATGTTTGTAATACCAGGCTCGTTTATAACGTTGACAAACGTTTTTCGAGCCAAGAAAGAAAGGATAATGCACAAGAGAAGTAGAAAATATGCTGGACTGCCTCTTGTCGTAAGAGAGATTAAGAGGTTCCAAGGCACTCGGTTCTAAGAGGTAGCAAGCGTGTGAACGGTCCTTAACATTAGAGTGACTAAAGCATTGCATGTCCTGAAACCGACCAATATTACGAAATGATTTCTGCAAAATCCTGCTTTCTTCATAGAATCCTTCCTTATTATTGCGTGCCTTTTGTCACAGATTCATCTGGGAGACGATGTCTACCTCTCCGAAACAAAAATGACGCACCTTTTGAAACTGCCAAGTGACCAGAGATTCACTAAAGATCTCATGCGGTGCATCTGGTCCATCGAAGAGCTGCGGCAAAGAAGCGTGACAGGCCAAGCCAGCCGTCGCCTGGCCAAACTTGGAGCCGCAGCAAAGCAAGCACTCACACCAAGGAAGGTGGCCGCAGTAAAAAGTAAGCTATGTGTTTTGGTGTATCTTCAGAATTTAGATATGTGATGCAGAGGTGGCTTTTGAATAGTGTTTATCATGTGCACTCTCAAATGCTTGAACAAAACTTTGTTGTTCTGTCTTCAATCTGCCACCAGCATCAAGAGCTTGTATAATGGGGAGGCTACCTCGTTTTTCTGATGAGGGCAGGAAGACACCTTTCTGCGACATTTACGAACAAAAGTTTGAATCAAAATAGAAGAGGAAAACACAACTTGTCCAAGGATTCCAGGAAAATATAAAAACCAGTCTGGTTTGTGCAACTGGCAGTATCAAAATTCAGGGTTTTTAATAGGGATGTCGCGAACTTTTTTCGAATCGAAGTTTCGATGATCGAATCAAGCGGTTCGAACGATTTCGAATTTTCGAACTTTCCATATGAACAAATTCGACCGAAGTCAAATTTTCGAACTTATTAAACTGAGAAGTTCGATGCTTTTCGAACTTATGACGCAGCAAAATTCGATGCTTGTCGAACTTTCGAACTTGATAGACTAAAAAATTCGATTATTTTCGAACTTTCGAAGTTCTTGCACTAAAAGGTTCAAACCCTTTCGAACTTTCTACGCTGAGAAAGTCGATAATTTTCGAACTTTCGAACTTATTAATCTAAAGAATTCGAAAATTGTCGAACTTTTGATTCCAGAAAAGTCAAAAGTTCGAACTCGAACTTTTAGGGTGAAAGTTCGAAGTTCTTCGAACTTCGAAAGACCGGCGGCCGGTTTCATTTGGATTCAAGCAGTGAGGTACATTCGTAATTTTTTTTCCCAATTTTGCATGTGGCACACAACAAATTGAGAGTCCAACGAAGAAAAAAAATTTTTAGAGCTATATTTACGGCGCTATACGAATTTATAGTTGGCGCCGCGGAACAATGGCCCTTACTTATCACGTGACTGGCCCATATTTATCACGTGGTGCTTGTGCTCTTTCGGAAGCTTCCTATGGCCTCTAAAAGTAACTTACTCATCTTTGTTTGAAGTATAACAAAAAAGTAAGGTTAATAAGTAAACTTCTACAGCCCAAAGGAAATCCCTGGAAAAGCATAAGCCGACGTGATAGACCTGTGTGCTGTGCAGAGACGGTGGTGCGGAGAAACGCGTTGAAGCGGCGTCGCACAACGCTCAGCGTGCGGCGGCGGCAGCGTGACTTTGACCCGCGAGCGCCAGATACAAATTCGTTTTGTGCCGTATATATAGCTCAATTTTTTTTCTTTGTTTTAAATTCGTTTTATAATATTCTTTTTCCATCTAGCCTGTTTACAAGAAATGTTTTTTTCCTTTGCATGTGTCCTTTAAGAAAAATGTTTATTTGTGTCGTAATCAAACCTCAACCACTGTCATCACTTCCATGAGACTCCTTGTTCGACGCCTCTTCCCAAAGGCAGTCGTCTTCAGCTTCGGTGCCGTCAAGTGCATCTGAAATCCCGCACATCTTGAAAGGGCGAGAGACGAGCGTGCGCCGATGCAGTGAAAACTTGGCGCGGCGAATAGAGCAAGCAACACAGTGGGGGGTCGGCTTGCCAAAGTTCTCTCGCCTTCTCATGCAGCAGCTCGATGTTTACAGCAAGGTGCCATTTACATTGCTCTTTCACAAAGTCGCTGAGATGTGCCTCGACGTCGGCGAACACTCCAATCATTGGGCCTCTAAAGCTTCTCGTTTCGTTGCACGCGATCAGCTTGCGTTTGTCGTCTCATCGGGTGATGCTGCCTTCATTTATGGCGAATTGTCATCCGGCAGCACTGTTGCCGATGTCTTCCACAACCAAAATGACTTTTCTTTTGAAGGCAGCAGAGTGTTGCTTTCGGACCGTCGGGCCCGAAAACTAGCCTGACTGCGGAAGATGGTGGCACCTCGGACATTGCTATTTTAAAGGGGTACGGAAACAAAAATTTAAATATTCAGATTTCGTTTGGAAATGAGTCAAGCATGACGGATAATAACCGTAAATGATAATTACACGTTTGTATTTTGAATGACTGGCTATATTGTTCGTTCCAAACGGTGCACTCGAGCAAGCGCTCGAAGAGAAGCGAATGGAGAGCGCGATGCGTCGGGATATCCGGTGCAAACAAAAACAGAAAGAAAAGATTTCTCGCGTCCATGGAGTAGCAAGGCAGGCGTGGTTATGAGCTTTGCCCTTGGTGGCATTGTCAGAGTTGTGGTGGTGTCAATAGCGTCGGTGCGTTACAACCGAGCATGTGACTGGCCCATGGAGGACGTAGCTTCCACAACACTGTCAGCTTAGGGCTGAACGGGGTGGGGAAAGTAACATGTGTGTTTTGAGGGACTGGCTAATCTTCTGTGGGGAGAACGGCTGTTTCCGGTTGCACGAACGAGGGTCCAAGAAAGAGGGGAGTCCTTCCTTTCTGTCTCCTTCGACCATTTGGTACAATACGCAATATGTGAGTTGAGCTAGGTGGTAAGCTAAAAGGGAAAATGTTGAAATTCCAAAGGGCGGCGCTGCTCCGAGGGAATCTGCTATGTTACGAGTACGTAGCAAGTTCCCCAACATTGTCAGATTAGCTCCCAAATAGGCTCCGCATGCATCCACCAGGTGCACATTGAAAGATTGTTTATTTAGCTTTAGAATTAGTTTTCTTGTGCCTTTCAACGGAAGACTGGTGTTTTTGAGGTTAGGGTGCAACATGCAACACATTCAAGCTAGAAAATAAGCGCTGGAATTTCGTTTCCCTAACCCTTTAATGGGGATGATAGCTATTTTGAGCACCATATTGCTTTGAAACCGAAACTATGTCAAACTGCGTTAGATCGCGCCTCATTGAAGCTGAAAATTGTTGGGACCCGCGTATAATACGAGCCGCAAATTTTGCATGGCAAAATATGAAAAAAAAGAACTCTGATTTTATGCGGGTCTTACATTACTTCTAATTAGTAACTATTGATCCAATTTTCTTTCAGACGCCTTGAGCTACTACATCAACCACCACCCAAACCCTGAGGCTGCCAACCCCCAAGAAGACCATGCTGTCCGCCTGCGACAGATTAACAATACAATGACGAACTTTCTTTCGGATCTGGGCCGCCCTGCCAGGTGCCGCAGTGCAGAGTGAATTTTTTCTGTAAAAGAATGTTGAGTTGGGCAAGTTGGTTTATCTTAGATTAGAAAAGCGCCAGAAAACAAGGACAACAGCGCATCGTTTCGTCTATTCTTCCTGTTGTCCTTGTTTTCTGGCGCTTTTCTAATCGAAGAATTTTTTTTTCTTTTATTCTTTTTTAGTGCAATTTTTTACCTTCATGTTTTTATGTTGTGCATATTTGACCGACAGGCGTCGCACCGCACCACGAATTTTTTTTTTTTTTTTTAATTATTTTATACTTGATCTCACCTTCTGTCCAAGCGCAGCAGAGGCTGCCAGCCATCTCAGCCAACCGACTGTTGAGAGAGAGTCATGTTTGCTTGAGCTCCCCCCGACCAGAACATCACGTGATACCCTCCGGGCGCTGGATTGCCTGGTGTGGCTCATAGCCTCCGCTGCGCTCGAATGGAAGGCTTTAGGGGGTTATGTTGCTCCACACAAATGTTTTTATTGTCTAGTCACTTTCTTTTGTCTTGTTTAGTGTGTTGGGTATATTGAAATAACCATTCAATAGTATTTTTAGTGTTTGTCTAGTCGGACGTTTTTAATCCTTACTCGGGCATATTTGACCGACAGTATGGTGCCTCGAGCATATTTGACCGCACCATGAATGTTTTTTTTTAAATTCTCTTTTATACTTGGTTTCACCTTCTCTCCAAGCGCAGCGGATGATACCAGCCATCTCAGCCAACCCACCGTTGAGAGAGTGTCACGTTTCCTTGAATTCCGCCTAACCAGAACATTACGTGATACCATCCGGACGCTGGATTGGCTGCGGTGGCTTGTAGCCTCCGCTGCGCTCGGACGGAAGGTGAAACAATGTGTTAACTACAGGGCTTTATGTCGCGCCACACGTTGAATGTGTTTATTGTCTAGTCACATTCTTTTATCTTGTTTAGTGTCTCGAATATATTGAAAGCACCATGCAATGGTTTTTTTCGTTCTTGTGTAGTTAAACTTTAATCTTTACAGTGTGGTGCCTCGGGTATATTTGACAGACAGGCGTTGCACCACACCCTGAATGTTTTTTTTAAATTCTTTTTTATATTTGGTTTCACCTTCTGTCAAAGTGTGGCGGACGCTACGTCCATTCCAGCAAACCCACAGTTGGGAGAGTCCAGTTTCCAGCCCATGTTGAGTCATGTCTAGTATTTAGACTTTCTTTTATCTTCTTTAGTGCCTCAGGCATAGTAAAGGCACCATGCAATGTTTTTTTGTTTTTCTTGTATAGTCGGACTTTTTTAATCTTTACTCGGGCATATTTGACCGACAGTATGGTGCCTCGAGCATATTTGACCGCACCATGAATGTTTTTTTGTTTTTTTTTTAAATTCTCTTTTATACTTAGTTTCACCTCCTCTCCAAGCGCAGCGGATGCTACCAGCCACCCCAGCCAATCCACCGTTGAGAGAGTGCCATGTTTCCTTGATCTCTGCCCAACCAGAACATCACGTGGTACCCTCCCAGCGCTGGATTGCCTGGGGTGACTCATAGCCCCCCCCCCCTCCCCCCTGTGCTGGGATGGAAGGTGAAACTGTGTTTTCCTTAGGACTTTATGTTGCGCCACACGCTGAATGTTTTTATTGTCTAGTCAGTCTTTTCTTTCTAGTTAGTGTCTCGTATATTGAAGGCACCATGGTGCCTTCAATATACGAGACACTTGGTTCTTGGCTGACTATTTTCAGTTGGTTATTCAGCCTTGGATTTACCATTTTTTATTGTTAAAACCACTAAAGGAGTGGTTAAAATTTCTATGCAAATAAAATCGTTGTGATAGTTTGTAGCCTGAGTTTTCAGTGTGGTGAAGCTGGCTGTACTGGTCTCAGGTACGAGTTGTACCGTTTTCACCAGTGAAACCGGTGTACCTGTGTGACCAGTATGGCTGGTTTTATCATATGCCCAGTATATCCAGTATTTCCAGTGCATCCAGTATACCCGTCCAATAATCCAGTTTGATACTGGCCCAGTATGCCCAGTAAAACCACTACCAGTATTCCCAGTTTGCCCGTCCAATAATCCAGTTTGATACTGGCCCAGTATGCCGAGTATGGAAATATTTTCAATAGGGTACCTTTGACAGCGTTGCACGCTAAGTATGAAACAGAGTATAACACACCCTATTGTATGGTACAGACCATTTATGAACGCTTGGGTGTTTAAACGATGTACTACATATTTTACAAAAAGCAAAAAAAAAAACATTGGGTGTATAAACGTTGTACTACCCTTTTTTCAATACAAAAAAGCAACAATAAAAAAAAAAACACATTTCAGAAGAAAAAGTTAAGGAAACGCAATGTACCATTATGTTCAGTGAAGTTTGGTGACTCGGGACTCGAGCAGGAATGCAGTTATCCTTGGTGTGACCCCATGAGACTGTCTCGCTGCCTTTGCTGGGGTTTATCTAACTGAAGTACCTGTACGAAAAGTAGAACACACGTGCATAACACTCATTATTCACAAGAAAATTTGTCAATGTCCAAAATGACGCATGAAGAAAATTATCCGAGGAATTTTCAGGCTGCGTCGGCCGAGTCACCTCTCATGGCCAATGTTTCATAGCAACTTTAATTGTAGTGAACAGTTATAGGGTATATTACGAACAAAGTGCAATTTTGTTTTGTAGGAAACTATAACACACAAAACGACACTTGAATACAGTATGTTGAGGTACCTCTAAACAAACTCCAGGGTTTCATGGCGCCTCCCTCAGATACCTGATGTTGAACATGAAATATGTGAACCAAGTAGTGAGCAAACAGCGACTTCAGATTTGTCTCTAACACCAGCGACATGTCGACAAGGAGTGCAACGTGTAGAAGGTCGTCTAGAAGTGTGCCAAGATGAAAAAGCAAGATGTAACGATATCAGAATAACATCACACCAACGGGCACCATTGTGGTGAGACAATCTACGATGTAGAGACAGTAATCGGGAGTCAACCGATGTACGGCCGCGATTTACTTTGCGGCGACTGAAATAAAACATGGCAAAAAAAATTAAAAAAATATAAAACGCTTTTTCTTTATTATTTGTTGAGCGCAGCCGGTAGCAGAGCAGTTGGGCGGCGTCACGAAAATCCGACAGACTCGCTAGCTTTTCTCAACTTCGTACGGCGCCAGTCGGCACCACAGATGAATGGTCGGCACCCTTAGTCTACCAGGGAAGAAAAAAGTACGAGCTCAGAGCCCAGCGTCGATCGCGACTTTCGTAAAGAGAAGCTCCGGTAACACTTCGGCGACTCGTGAGCGTTAAACAACGCCTCTTCGAACGAGCCCACGAATCCAACACGTCGAACGGTTTGCGCCGGTAAGCACGCTGGGAGCCAGGGGGCTGGAGGTTGAATATCCGAAAGAGACGAGGCGCTGGTTTCTACGTCTATTTCGCACATGAGATAACAAGATAGCGAAGCTAGCCGAGTGTAAACACTGACTGACGTTACATCAGAGTACACGCAGTCGAAATGACGTCTGCAACACAGCACAGCCAGACGCTTTCAGCAGGGGACGCATGCGTTCAAATAAGCTGCGATTTCAAAACCTCATGTCTCCCTTCTGTCCTTCAGTGTTCACTTTGACCTGTGTATACCAAAGCACTCAATGCTGCAAGTAATAAAGTCGTCTATACGTACCTTTCGAAGCGATTGAAAGTGCTTTCGTTTCACTTGGAACCCACAAGCAAAGTGCGCGACGAACTTCACGAGCTGTCATCCGTCGGCCCCGCCATCGCCGCCGTCTCGCCGGGTTGGCGCGGTCGCGGTCGCTGCGCAATGGCGCAATCGCGCAATCTCGGCGGCTGGGCTTGTCTTGGCTGGATCGGCGGATTCGGCCACTCGGCGGCTCGCTCATCAGCCGCCCGTCTGGCTCGATCTCGCTCGGCTCGCCTCCTGGCCTCCCTTCGGAGTTCGAACTGCCTCCGAAGCTGGAGCGCTCGAGCTTTTGCGCGCGCGGGTTGACAACTTTTCTCATAAAACGAGTCTGTAACGTATCGTTTGATGGCGCAAATGCACGTATTTTTCCCGTCGTTTTTTTACAGTACGTGAATCTTGCGAAACAGGCGACGAAGAGTGGTGGGTGAAATGTGCTCGTGTGTGGTTGTGGATTTTGTGTACGACGTAGGATTACCCAGAAAGGTGGGTCAATATCGATAAATGTGCGGGTAAGAAGCACGTGAGCTGTCAAGCCCATTAATCCTAATTATTTTATCGTGCGAACAGACATTGTCACGTACCGCGTTCGATTTGGGTTCCAACATCGGTAACCTAACTTTTGTTGCATTAAAACTGCAATAAACATTTTAGAGCGCAGCTCTTAGGGGCCCGTTCCCGGCTTGAGCGGCGTCGGCGTCGCCGTCGCCGTCGGCGTAACCAAGGTCATCCAAAGGTCACGTGACCCGTCCAGGTCACGTGATCCCTCCCAAGGTCATCTCAAGGTCAGGTGACCCCACGTGACCCCCTGAAGGTCACGTGACCCCCAAGGTCACGTGACCTTGGGGGTCACGTGGGGTCATTTTGGGATCACGTGACCCCCAAAGTCACGTGACCCCTCGAGGTCACGCGACCCCTCCCAAGGTCATCTCAAGGTCACGTGACCCCCACGTGACCTTTGAAGGTCACGTGACCCCCCAAGGTCACGTGACCCCCAAGTCATGTGACCCCTCTGAGGTAACGTGACCCCTCTGAGGTCACGTGAACCCCGAGGTCACGTGGTCTCCTCCCCAAGGTCACGTGACCCCCGAGGTCACGTGACCGCTCCCAAGGTCATCTCAAGGTCACGTGCCCCCAAGGTCCCCACGTGACCCCTCTGAGCTCACGTGACCCCTCTGAGGTCACGTGACCCCCAAGGTCACGTGACCCCCATGGTCACGTGACCCCCAAGGTCACGTGACCCCCTGAGGCCACGTGGGGGTCACCTTGGGGGTCACGTGACCTTGAGGTGACCCCCATGTGACACCCAAGGTCATGTGACCCCCAGGTCACGCCTCCCCGAGGTCACGTGATCCCCCTCCCCGAAGTCACGTGACACCCCCCCCCCCCCCGAGGTCACGTGACCCCCCCC